GCATGATCAGACCAGAGACGGAGTCCTATGTGGGAAGTAGGGGTCTTGTCAAGTGGTGCTGTGCGAGGAAGAAATAGTCAAGTCTGCTGTAGGTATTATGAGCCGGGGAGAAATATGTATAGTCTTTCTCGGAGGCATGAAGGGCTCGCCACACATCCACCAGTCTGAGCTTGTACAGCAGGTTTTTAATTTTAGTTAGGGATGTATGAGAGAAAGGGGACTTACCAGAGGAGGAGTCCAGACCGGGCACCATATGAGGATTTTGGCGTTGTTAAACAAGATGGTGTCTTGTGTGCGGGCTGCTCTCATGATGTCATCCTTTATCTTGAAAAAATGGATCCTGCAGATGACATCCCTGGGGCTGGATCTATCTGGACGCTTAGCCCCTAGTGCTCTATGAATCCTGTCCATCTCAATAGGGGATTCTTTGGTTCTGTTTAGGAGCTGGTTAAAGAGCGCAATTGCCGCAGATTCCAGGTCTTTGGATTCGATAGACTCAGGCAAGCCTCTAATGCGGACGTTATTGCGCCTGTTTCTGTTCTCCTGATCGTCCTGTTGATAGATTAATTGGTGCAGCAACACTGTGTGTTCTTGCAGTGTGGTGTCATGCAACTGTATTCTGGATTGCATGTCAGAAGCGGTTTGCTCAATATCATCTAGTCTGGAGCTTAAGTCCCTTTTTAAGGTGGACATCTCCTTCTTATAAGTAGATTCCATGCGTGCAAAGCAGGACTCAATATCCCTCATAGTGGGCAAGGCCTTAATATAGGTCTCCATATCCCACCCCTCCTGGGAGCTTAGGGAGGTCTTCGACAGGCACCTGGATCGATGCTGGGGACCTCCAGGGCTGTGGGGCAAACAGCTGGCTCACCTGCTCCCTGTCAGGAGAATCGGCGTGTGCCGAGGAGAGCTCCGGCGGCGCCATCTTGGTCGCATGTGAGGAGGCAGCCTTGGAGGCCGCGGGTGCAGTTGTACTGAAAAAACGGGCCAATTCCTCGGCGTGGGGCCCGTTTTATGCTGCTTCTTCCCCTTCTTCCTCCGGTCACTCATGGTCGGCAAAGGGGAGAGCGGATGGCTGCTGTCTGCCTGGTTCAGTGCCCTGTGAGCGGGAGATGAGCTGAATCACGTCTTACCGCTCCATGCGCCTGGCCACGCCCCCAGCTCTTTTTTTAAAATAGTATGACAGAAGAACTAATAAACACATTTCTTCTAAAGAAATATATTTTTGAAGGACAAGAAGCTGCAAAGTGGCTGTCAAATAAATTAATGTCAAAATTAGCAAAGAGTCTCTTTATACCAGAGTCAGGTCTGCCACCAGGCACACATAAAATTGAAATGCACGGAACATTTCCAAAAGGAAAATCTCCCTGAGGAATGTTATAGATTCAACTCATTAAAGTGACTCCCTTGGCAGTCTGACTGTTACATCTGTAGCCATACAATTCTAATGTTTTAGTTACATAGAAATAAGCGTTGGAAGGTGATGTCCTGCCTAAACTATCTGTGCTATTATGTATAATTTGCAATCCAATTGTAATGCATGAAAGACAACTTTGCCATTCAGAAAATACATTTAAATTACCTGCTAAATGGCCCCAGTGAAACAATCTTTTATTCTTCTTCAGCTAAAAAAAATTTAATCTTTTCAGGATGTTTCAAAATATTTAAATAATAAACATTTAAATGTGCAGATAAATGAACATTTCATAAGCAGATCAGGCATAATATGCCAATCATTGTATTTTGCTTTGGCAACAACGCAGAGTAGACCTACAAACTATTTATTTATGTTGAGTAGAAGAGGCTAAGAACCACTGGCACTTTTTTTTATTGATGTCTGTCTTCCCAATAGGAAGAATGTACCCTATTTCCATTATTGTGGTTACTGGGAATGATAAAGAGGGTAAATATCTTCAACTGGAACACATACTGCAATAAAACATGCTTTTTTGTAGAGTGGGAAATTGTCAGGCTTTTAAAGCTGCGTGTGTCCTTTTTAGGGCTACGTCCACCTCAATTTCTGTCCCAGAAACAGAGATTTCTTCAACAGAAAAGCTAATACCAAGGAAACAGAGAGCAATAAAGAAATCACTGGGCTTTAAACCTTTCCCACTCCACTGAAAGAGACACCTTGCCCATTAGGTTTGAGCACTACATCATAGTAAAAGTTCACATGCTCACCCATATCTGGAATCGCAAACTATTCTGCAGTGGTTGCAAAAGAAAAATTAGTGGCAGGGGAGTGCTAAAGAGAAGAGTATAAATTGGTCAGGGGGGCTAAATGTGCCTATTTTAAAACAAAATAGATTTGTTTGTCTCTGTTGGAGAGAATTTATCTCACATTCTCTTGAATTGACAGGGGTATAGGAAGTAACGAAAATCTCTCCAAAAGTGGAAAATGGCAGCTTTTAACTAAATTTATGTTATTTCTCACCCTATGAAAGAGATTTTGGTTGGAGTTAAGCTTAAAGACATCATATTAATGGCTTAATGGTTTTGCTCTGTGATTAGAGAAATCATCCTGAGTAGGTTATGTAAGCATCGCAAGTTGAGATACCAAACATTACATTTGCAGGTCTGATTGAACTGGCAAAGCATTAACCACTTGCTGAACGTGTTAAACCCCCTTCCTGTCCAGGCCATTTTTCAGTATTCAGTGCTGCAGTACTTTGACAGATATTTACTCCATCATGCATCATGTACTAAAATAAATTTTTATACAATTTTTAGGGACAGATACAGCTTTTATTTTGTACTATATAATGCAAAAAGTACCTATTTTCCCTCTGTCATGTTATAAAACATTTATCAGTACCCAATATGTCAAGTCTTAAAATTGCGTGCACCCCCAAAATTGCAAAAAAACTACAATACCTAAAATTGGCCATAGGCAACGCATTAAAAGCTTTTACCACTCATGAGTTTAGTGTTATCAGTGATACATGGCCCCAAAATTATTGCTCACACTCTGACGTTCGTGGCAATATGTAATATGTGTGGCGTTATTATTCTTTTCACATGTAGGCGCCCCGACGCGTATTTACGTTTATAAGTGCGTGCACACATGGGCGGGGGACTTAAAACTTTTTGGGTGTTTTAAAAAAAAAAATTAAACTTTATGTTGAAACTTTTTTTTTTTTTTACACTTAACTTGATTGCTATCACATAGAGGGGGATAACAAGCCAATATACAATGGCAGGTCCCCTTTATAGAGACATCGGGGGTCTCTAAGACCCCCAAAGAAGCTGATGAAGCAGAGATCTGCTTCAGCAGCTTCTTCTCTAGCTATAGCAGCCAGAGAAATGACAGCTAAAGGGGGAAGTGATGTAATATACATCACTTCCACCTTCAAGCATCGTAGAAGAGATCAGCGGTGGGGGAATGCTGATATCTCCTACTTCTCAGTACAGAGAGCCGCTGTGCCAGTGTTCTCGATCCCTGGCCCGCAGGGGGGACATCGGTGCCCAAGTTAACCGGCAGCTGGGGGGGAGGCGCAGCAGTAGAGGGGGGCCTGCACTGTGTGTCATCATACAAGCGACCGGCCAGCTATAGAGCCGGCCGAACGTTTGTATGTAACAGCCTATAACGGCTGTTCACATTCCCGACGGCATTGCAGAAATAAAATCACGTACATATATGTCCACCCGCCGGGATGCATCCGCCATCCGCCTGTTTTTTTTACAATGGACGGACGGCAGGGGGTTAAGGGCATGTTGAAGCATTGGTTTTGTATCCTATGCTTTTCCTGGGGAAAGTGAGCAAAGCAGGCTCTGAAGATACTTGTCTTAATCTGTAAAAAAAATCAAGGCAAATAACTGGACTTGCTGTATTTTTCAGAATTGAGAAAGCTTGTTGGATGGCCAGCGAAACGTCTTCAAGAAAAATAAAGCAAGTCCAGTTTCCTTGATTTATTATTTACAGATATACCATGACCTGGATGAATGAGAACCTTCACAGACATACTTCTCTCAAGTACTGAGGTTTTGTGAACCTGTTGTAGTTCAGTTCAGTTACATTTTGGCTTAATATAAATCATGAAAAGTTATGCACTCTTGTCGGCTGCATTAGTTTGGCATTCAAAGGGAATGGTCTCGCAGTAAAAGTCATATATCTATTGTGATGCAATTTCAAGAGGCCAGACAAAATACAAAGCTGAGCCTGGCAGGCAAAAAGGTTAAGCTATTGGTTGTGTGGCCCGAGAAATGTAGACAGTTATACAGTACCACGTTAGCATGGGAGATGCAATAGAGGCTGAGTGAGCATACCTAGAAAGGGAGCTTCTGTTAGAGGATAGTGTGCTTTTTGCCCAGGGCCAACTTCACAATGTGTAAAATTAGCCACAAGTAAGAAGTCTTCAAATGCCATAGTGTGACTTTGGCAATCAAGAGTGTCTGTTCTGGGTTGCATACAAAAAAAAGCCTAAATGTGGTCCATGCTGAAACACCTGACAATGCCTATTTAGCATATGCTTACAGTAAAAATTGAACATTCCCATAAATGATGCAATTATTGTTAAATGATTACTGCTAAACAATACTGGAAGCCCCCACGTGGACGGCAACACAAACATCTTTATATAATGTCCACAAAAAAAGGAAAGATGAGCTAGGGTTACAGGTATTTCTGTTGTCAGTTTATAAAGAGAGTGTTCTACATTGTTCCAAAAATATCTGCACTAAATTAAATTAAGGCCTATCCTGACTAACATTGCAAAATAAAATACAAACATAAAGAGGCTGATTTACTAAAGGATTTGAGAATGCTCAAACAATAACGTGTGAATTTTCACTTTAATTATTCAATCACGTACAGATGAAATACGTAAACAAGAATTTTCTTTTTACATAATCTAATAACTGGCGTGAATCTTTGCACATTTTATTGTGCACAATCCTTTAGTAGATCAGCATCAACCGTTCAACTCATTACGGCTCAGTACTTTTGTTATGCCCAGAGAACATCAAGATCACTGTAAAAGGATGAATTTGTTTATACTTACAGTTACACCAAAGAAATTTGTTTCATTCATTGCATCGAGGAAGATTTTCCCAAGCTTGTGGTTTGTATAGTTGAAATCTTGAATGCTCAGATGCTTGTTGGTAGCATTAAGGTATTCCATTGCTCGGTGAAGAGTTTTCGCAATTACCCATATTCCGTCATAGGCATAACCGTGAAATTTACTGGGTTCCACATCTGATCGCTTTTCATTGTATTCTTTTTCATACTGTTGAGGGGTCTAATAAGTGCAGATACAAGTCACATAAGCATTTCATTCTTTTTTCTTTAAGTGTTATAAATGTAATACAAAAAGTGTTTTGTTATTTGGCTTTTTTTTTTCTAGATGCCCATTAAAAACAACACAAAACATTTGCTTTAAAATAAAAATATTTGGTGATGACGTCAGCCGGTCCAGTTCCTAAAGTAAACCATTTACAAGACTTAGCAATTTAAATGAATTCAAATGTAAATTAAGTGTATGAGTAAGTGTATGAGGAAATTATGCATAAGTAGAGGTTACTTTCAGTGTTAAAATGATCCTTAGATGAAATGATACAAGCAGCAAAGCTATATACATATCTTAACTTTTCCTGGCAGTAGTAGGGTATTGTGCTGTGTTAGACACTGATTGAAAGTTTGGAGTTTGAGTGCTACCCTTTTTAGGCTAACTTAAGTTAATAAAGATCTAAGCTTTCAAGATGACTTACATCCCTTTTTTATACAATTTGAAGGGATCAACATTATCAGGAAATCTTAAATTAGCTAATACAGGGTATAGTTTAAAATCCAAACTTTTCAAGTGTGCTTCTATACCTTTCTGCTGTCAGAGCCTCCCTATTAGCTTCACATTAAAGTGAACCTTTACCCCCTTTTATTAAAAATAAAATCAGCATGCATCCCTGCATCATCTTACATTTAGGGCTTGTTCATGCCATGTGCGGAGCAGATGCAGAGCAGTTACAGAACGCATCAAAACTGCATCTGATGTATTCAAATGGTATTTTGGGCTCTAGTTCACACCACAGCGTTTAGTTCCAGAGCATGTGGAAAACTGTAGCATGCCCTATTTTTTCTGCTCTGGAACGCGCCAAAATGCATGCAAACGCATCAAAAGTGCATGCAAACTGGAACTCACTGAAAGCCCATTTTAGGCTAAAAAAAAAGAGAAATGTGGCAAAACACACTGCACTGCATGTGCAGAAACTCATGCAGATCTGGTCCGGATTTGGTGTGAACAAGCCCTTATTATTTAAACAAACATATTTTTATTTTACTTACAATTTATTGTTTCTACTTCCTGGTCCTCTTTGGCACATATGATGCAATTCTGCCCAAGCATTGCATCCTGGGAATGTTATATCAGCACAGCATTGCTGGGAAATCTCATCTATATTCTCATGAGATCTCAGGGAAAGGCATTTTCCTCCTCTGAGAGGATGTGCATGGTCACATGTCCTAGTCACATGTGACAGAGATCCAGGAAGTAAAGGGGATGGATTTATCTGCCCTTACTAAAAATGGCCACTGTGAGAAGAATGGGGAGGAATAAATTAAGGTATGCAAAGAATAAAAATCCTGCAATTATCTATAGTTACATAGTTACATAGTATTTGAGGTTGAATAAAGACATATGTTTGCAGATTGCTATTCCTAAACATTTCTAAAGGTGTGTTTGTTGTCATTTTGAAGATAAAGGTAAAGCTCCTCTTGATGGAAACATTTTTTACTCAAGCTGCAAAAATAAATGGGACCAAGCTTGACTTTTCATGCAGATTTGAAAATCAGGTAGTTGACTGCAACAGATGGTTTCTACTAAAAGGAACCAGTTTGGTGATTTCACCTATTCAATTGATCAGCTGCACATTAATAATACCTTTTATATGCTATTAATTGTAACATATATTCCAATTTAATTATTTTATATTTTTATAGTTTGTACTCTTTAATTTAATTTTTTTATGTTTTGACAAATACAGTGAATGATATTATGATATAGCGTTTACTTTTATTGGATTCACATGGAAAATGTAGATGTTAATTCTTGCCATTGTGTGTGTGTGTGCTTATCTGTTCTCAATTTAGCATTATCTATATAATCCATGACATAAAAAAAATCTAATTCAGAACTTTGTAAAATGCTTACCCGTCCTGATATTGTCTTGATTTGCTTTGTGCTAAGAGGTTCGAAATCCACTGCAATGTATCCTTCCATTGCAGTGAGCAGGTTTTTATTTGAACAGGTGGAAGAATTGGCTTGTTGCCACCATAGTGCTTGATACCATCCAGGAATGATCCATTGATATTTGCTGCCATACATCTCTTCATTGTAAGCCTAAAAATAGGATAATTATAAGTTAGCTGCTGAAGCATAGTATGGAATTTAATATTTAGTTCACATGTAAGGTTTTTGAGAAACAGAGACAAGTAGAAACAATCTAATGAAGCAACACTAGAACCACTTAGGCATTTAAACATAGGAAGTTTAAATAACAGCTTAGTTTATTTGCATTATCCAAGAGAAAGGCACCCTGGCAATTTACAACAGACACAAACAGCCTTATTCAATAAAGAGATCTTTTTCTTAAGTGCAGTTAACTATGCAAACCAATTAGCATGCATCTTTTGCTTTTCTCAATTCAATTGTGAATTCTGATTGGATTGGCTGCTATGGGTTACTGACTTACAAATTAACACTTAAAGGAGAACTATGAGGTGAGTGAAAATCACTCATCCTCACAGTTCGAGCCGACATGTGGCAATGAAACACATGTGATATTGAGCTGCTGAAGCATAGTATGGAATTGAATATTTAGTTCACATGTAAGGTTTTTGAGAAACAGAGACAAGTAGAAACAATCTAATGAAGCAACACTAGAACCACATCAGCACATCAGCTCAATAGATCGGGAAGTGAGCGAAACGCATACCGTCGCTCGCTCACTTCTTGATCATCTCGTTGCAGAGAGCAGTGACTGTCAGTCATGGCTCCCCGCAGGGATTCCTCCCCCCCGCTCCGATCCTCCAGCGCTGACTAGAGTACCGGAAAGGGAGGGGGGCGGGTACATCTCTAGCTAGGCAGAGCCAGTTGTCATTCACGTCGCTTGGGTGGATCTTGACAGCATTGTTAAGATCCGTCCCGGCTGCGGCGCTCTCAGTATACCGCGATATACTGAGCTTTGGGTCACGGGAGGATGCTAGTATATGTCCTCCTGTGGCACTTAAGAGCATTATGGGGAAAACACTTACCCCATAGTTCTCTTTTAAAGAATAATTCCAGTTTGGGCATTCAAAGCTAAAATCCAGCCTTACCTTCAGTCTTGCATGGTTGTATGGGTTCTTCTCCTATACTGAAATTGCTTACTATGCTTTCACTGTACACTGTAAGCTTCTCACAGCTGGAGGACATCCAGCATCATCTAGCACTTTCCTTCTCAGCCTTATTGTCTCTTGCCGACACCTTTCATCCACTGAATTTCAGTTCTTTTAAACGTGAAGGCTCAGCATTACATTTAGATGTTACCTAGGGCAGATATAGCCTGCATAGGAATATCCATTCCTCCAGACTGACGTGCATTATCAAGCATTTGATATTTACTTAGCCCCTGCCAAAGTGGCTGAAACACGTTCCAAAACGCTGACGCCTAGGTGTGAATGGAGCCTTAGGGTTAAAAAGAAATCCAGGCAGATGTGTTCTTAACCCTTGCAGTGGGTCTACCGGTCACTGAAGCCTCTCTCCTCTTATGCTGCAGCACTCAAATGTTCCTCAGCCTCCTCACGTCTATACACCGTGTAGAGAATGTAATTACTTATGGTACTTAAGGTGCCCATACACCTTACGATTATCGTACGATAATCATATGCGATCGACTTTCCGTACGACAATCGTAACGTGTGAATGTAGTGCCTGACCGATAGTACTGTACAATCGTACGACTTTTGACGGTCAAGCATGTTTGAAACTTTTGGACGATGTTCGCATGGTTGATGGCGTTTCCGTCGTACGATTAACACTGCGCATGCAAACGAAAATAATTGTGGTCAATTACCGCAAGTCGTCCAGGTATTTTTTTCTACCTACCGCTGATTGAACCTTGCGATAATCGGCCCAGGATGTTTCGTCCAATAATCGTAAGGTGTATCTTTAGACCGCTGCAGCGGAGGAGGAGAGAAGCTCCAGTGACCGTTCTAAGAGAAAGTCGGCTCCTAGGATCATGAAAGTATAACTTTTTTTTTTAAACCTAGTCAAAAACAAGCAGTTAACACTTGCAGTGTAGGGGTAGCCCCACTGCAAGGGCTAATACACATAATGACAGGAGTTCTGCTTTATATTTCTACATGATTTGCCTTCTTTGTGTTGTAATGTTAGGAGGGGCTGTGAGGTGTATGTTCATTATCATTTGTAAAGTAGATTGGAACACTGCCTGTCCTAACAAAGGGTTAAAAGATTACAATCCTGGCTTACTCATTGTATGTTAATGAAGTCAATGAGGGAAACACAATACTCATATTTCAGTCCCAAGTCTTTTTATAAGGACAAATCACTGTGAAGTTGCTCAGAAAAACCTGGATTCAGCCATCTTGCCTGCTGCAATAAAACATCTAAAGGGTAAGAAATAAAATATATATATATCTATATATATTTTTTTTCTTGGCTCTGCTGTGTGAATGGGAACACATAACACACATATACTTTTCCTCAAATGTGACTGCAAAAGTAGAAATACACTTTAAAGCTATTAATCTCTATGGTACGTGCAGTTACCAATGTACACTGCAGTTCTTTAAATGCCAGATGCATTACATTTTAGCAAATGCACACATGATATAAGCACCACTTGCAAGGCCTGCTATTCATTACATACAGTGACATATTTTATTATTTTCTATTGTGAATTGGAAACATTAAGGAAAGAATGTGTTTGGTTGCTGAAGGCAACATAGTTCTTTCAGATACTTTCATGGATGGGACTACCTTTTAGAAAAATGTTTCTATTTACAGAACAAATTGAATCCTGTTAAAGGTCAATGCAGTAAGCCTTTTAGTCTCCCTTTGCCCAGAAATGGCTGACAGCATAGAACAATACTGTGCACTCAGCTGCATACAACAAGTAAATGCAGCTTTAGGACACTCTTACAAACACTGCAATAAACAAAGTGAAATTTCAGCAGATGATAAGTGAGGACCAGGAAGTGAAAAACCAGCTTACGAACCATTGAATAAAAGTTTAAAATAAAATAAAAGTTATTTCCAGAGTATCAGAATATACTAATTACCAAGGATTGAAAAGTGGAGTAAATAAACTGAAGGTCATTGACATAAAAACCTTTTTTGATGGTATTCTTAGCCAGGGTTAAATGTCAAGTATCTCAAATTATATTACGGTGAAGCATGTGTGATACATATTTCTGAATGTTAAAGCTGTACTTCAGGCTCGTAATTAATAACACCATTTTCTGCAGCGATGGAAATTTGGGTCCATAGGTTTGATTTTGTATATTCATTGCTATTTTGTGTTGTACAAAGAAGGAATACCCCCCCAGCACCACCACCTTTTGCAAGTTATGTGAGTTGTTCTTATCAGAACTTATAGGGTGAACATGGTGGGGGGAAATCTATCACAGCAATAGCGATGGTGTTAGCCTCTTAGATAATTTTTTGTTTATGTACAAATCCGTTTAGCAGCTTTTTTAACATGCACAACTATTTTGACCAGAGCTTGCGCTATTTTTCCAATTGCGTGTGTTTTGCACATGTTTTCGCGTGTTCTGCAAAAGTTTGCAACTGTTTACATCCTCACTTATCCTGCGGCTGTCTAAAACTGGAGCATCACCTAACAAAACAAGCTTAAGAAGTGCCCATGACCACTTTTTCAGGAAGCGACAGTTAAGCTTTTTGCCAGGAGTTGCGAATCCTCTTTGCTGGAGTCTATTTACTCTCATTTATGAACAACATTACACTAGCAATATAAATCTGGCGCAAATGTATCCTATGCGACCCTATGCGAGTTCAGACACTCGCAATTGCTATGACAAATTCCCCCCGGAATGTTCTCACCACAGGCCTAGATAAGATTGTGTCAGGGACCATAGCACCTCCAGGTGGTGCAGGAACCAGGTCATGCAGTTCCTGCGCTCACCTACAGGTGTTTTCAGGCAGACAGGAGATGTCAGGTACCAGACCACCACTGGGTGGTGCTGGAGCCCGCATGTTCAGTCCTCACCTGTGGCTGTCTCCCAGCTGTCAGTGATTAATCCTTACCTGGGAGGTTATTTAATCCCTCCCTGCAGTCTGGATATTGCCTCAGTATCCTGTCGCCATTTGCTGTGAATCCTGAGTCCTGTTACCTGCTTCCCATCCTGTTACCTGTTTCCTGTGAGTCCTGTTACCTGTTTGCAGTCCTGAGCTCTGGTGCCCCATAGCACCCTGACTTTTGTCCCTTAGCTCCCCTGGTGTTGCTTTGCTCCCTGTGTTTACTTGCATGTTAGTTTTTGCATGTGGTTGGATTTAGATGTAGTTAGCTACTCTTACTTGTTTCTGTTTATATTATTTTGGTGTGCATATTAAACTGTGTATATAAGTTCATTTGCAGTGTCTGGTGTGGTCATGCGTTTGGTCCACCCGTGTGGGTACTTGCATGCGGTGTGAGGACACCCGCGCTCGGTTCCCTGATAGATTGGTTCTGAGGCAAGTATGATCCTCAGCTATAAGTAGGACTAGGGGGGTGATTTACTAACCTAAACACACGCACGCACCAGGTGCGTGTGATTTTCACAAAGCAAAACGTATTTATCAACCAAAAAGTCTCTAAAAGCATGTTTCCGCTAATGCCATATATGGAAAAATCATGCACATGATGCATATATAATGCTGCTTCACAGTTTAGACAAAAATGGTTAGCTCATGCATTTACATTCCTACATTCATCAACGCAAGCAACACAATGTAGAGCTAATTTACACAACATCACCTTGCAATTCAGGGCAGGGCTTTGCACAACACACCTGCTGGGTGTGTACACACTACAAAGGTGTTTAGATTCCACCCATAGATCATGCTGGGAGGGAACACACTACAGAGGTGTATACATGTTCGTGGTGTGTTTATAAGGTTAGTAAATCAACCCTTATGAGTCAACTTGTTTGGAAACATGTATAAAAGTAGTCCTCCCTTTCAATAAAGGAAGAATAGTCTCTGATATCTGTGTGGTCTCAATTTCTATTTTTCTTACAATCATATGTTACTAACATTGTCTATCTGACTAATAACAGGTTCAAAGTTCGATAACAGTGGTTTTTTTTTAAAGATGCTTTTTATTGAGTTTTCCAAGTGTC